TCAGCCCACCAGGGGGCGGGGCTGGCTGGCATGTGGTGCTGGGGATTGAACCGCGGTCCCTGTGCTTTCCTTGTTCTAAGTAGGTGCTCTAGACCACTGAGCCATCTCACCAGCCCTTGCCTGTTGTCCTTCCTGAAGAGGACAACAATATTTCATCTCCTACTGCATATATGAGTTGGGTTTCCTGCAGATTAATACAGGCACCGTGTCACTACGAGGTCCCACCTCAGAAAGGCCCTGAAGGTCTAAACTTTGGTTTACAGTCCATGTGGGTAATGGCATTAGCGACTTGTTTAGGCAGTGGACATCTGAGACTCTTAAATTCATGCATGCAAATTACGTCCCATGAAAGATCATCTCACTTGTCACTGTGACTGCGGGTAGAGCAGAAAGACCGTCTTGCAGGCGTTCACCTTCTGTGGAATCTAAAGGATACCACAGCAAGAAACCAGCCACGCAGCCAAATTAGGCTGTCGTCTTTAAGGTCAGCGCCAACACGTCTTACTCAGCTCTGAGAACTCTTGAATCATTGCCTAGCAAGGGCACACAGGTGTTTGTTGAAAAATTATTATAAAAAGAGTTGCTATTTGCCTTTTGGATTTATAAAAGAAGGCCAGAAGGTGAATCAACAGGCGTGGAAGCTGCCGAACAAGTTATTCTGAGCCCACGAAGCCTGAAGAGCAACACTCAGGCCGAATTCATGTCTCTCATGGGGGTGACCTCAGATTTCCCATTATTAGGAGTATTAGCATTATTACTCTTTATGGTAGAAGCAACTTGGTCAGCCTCAGAGCATGAGTTAGGCCATGTATATATATTGTTGCTAAAGTTACAGAGACTTTAAAGTGATACCTCGGCTGTTGAACTTCAAGCTCCAGCTTTCCACTACTGGAATAGAGAAGTTGTGGGGGGTTATGCTCTGTGCGCGTAACTGTGCTGAACAGTGAACCAGAAAATCCTGCAAGAAAACCTGCCATGGAGGAAGGCGAGTGGAGCGCCCAGTCCCGAGGGACGCACAGGGGCTGCGTCCGCCTCAGTGCCGCTCCCCCCAGTCGACGTACAGTGCTAAAACATTTGTCAGGATTTGGGGGTTTTGTTGCACTTTGTGTAAAATATTGGAACCATGGCTCCAAAGAAAGTAATACCAGCAGTAAAGCTACAAGGAAATGAAAGCCAGAATAGAGTTGCAGAAAAAATCATTGCAAAATATATTAAGGTCCTGGCAAAATAAATGTATAAATGTAATTTTGGAGCCTCAGAACCAAATATTTGGTTTTGCATTATTTCCTGTGGGGAAAATATGTTCAATCCTTGAACCTTTCGGTGTTTGGACATGAATTTGGAACGAATTGCGCTCAACACCAGAGGTATTGCCGTGCAAGCGCCGAAGGTCAGGAGACCCTGGCTTTACTGCACTGCCAGGCCTGGTAAAACAATCTCTAAGTGTTCAGCTTTATTCCGTCAGTTCACTGAGTCCTTGATTAGAGAGACACGGTAATAGTTCTACAAATCATTCTGAGAGATCTGATGCTTTGAAGAAAGCTTTTTGCGCAACAGCAACAGCAATGGCCTTTTATCGTAAGCGATCTTAGATGTTTTCCTAAACAGAAAGTGTATTCTGGTTTTGAAGCTCCTCAGGGGGTGGGGCTGGGCCCTTCTTCCCGAGCCCTGCAGGTCACTCTGGGGACACGGCTCAACTGCAGGGCACAGCACGGACCAGCGTCCTCGGGGAGCTAATAGTCTCCTCCGGGCCTAATGAACAGGAGGCGATTTTAATGCTAAATGAAAGCTCTGGAAAAGGCAGAGCCAAAGCAGATTTGGGGGACACAAAACTATTTCTTAAAAGAGCAGCTGGCTGGTCTGGCCACCTGGGGAAGACAGAGGGCCTCGGGGAGGGGGATCTCGGCGCAGAAGGCGGGTGGGTGGGGCTGCAGGTGGCTGGGCGTGCAGGGAGTAGGAGTGTTCTGCGCGGAATGGGGTGAAAGCCTGCCTCGACTTACAGCCTGACCTGAGCCCCAAACGGCGCCTTCTCCGGCTTACGCCCAGTAAGAACCCTGGAGCTTCCTCCTAGAGAAGCAGGGCTGAGCTCTAAAAGCTAGGGAGGAACGAGGCCTCAGGTGACGAAGGGCCACGCTCCACGCTCCGCCTTCAAGGAATGCAATTTTGGGCGCTGAGAAAGTGCTTCTCCCACAGTTTCCGAGCACATTCTTGCGTACAGCACCCGACCCCGTATCTCTCCGCCTCCTCCTGGCTCCCCTTTTAGTGAATCATGTTCTCATTTTCCAGAGGACTTCCGGCTCGCTTCTCTTTTCCAGACACACCCACAGCCGCCTGGACTCCCGGAAGCTCGCCAGGCGCCCTGGACAGCACCCTCCGGCCAGTGCTTCCCGGGAGCATCGTTTCCTGTCCTAAGGCCCGGAACCACCCCCAGGCCCTCCAGGGCTTGTCCCGAGCAAGCAGACCCCATCACTGTATTAAAACAGGCGCAGCTGCAGGCTTCCAGAGAGAGCTTCCCTCTCCGGAATCGGGATGGAACCTTTCCTGCACCTACGACCTTTACACTGAAACACAAATCCGGTTGTCCCCGCAGGTCAAGCAGGCAGGCCTCATGTGTGTGCGCTTAGGACATCTCTTCATGAAATTCATAAACTGTCTGAAGGGCGTCGCCAGCCAGGCAAATTCTCTTGGGGGAATCAGTGCCGCTATTCATGATTTAACTGCCCCACAAACCCAAGAACTTGCGTGGAAATTTCCCCCACATTCACATGCACGGGGGATTCACGCACAAGAAGAAACATGACATTTTTAGTACCAGCTAGCAACCCAGTTCCAAAGATGAACTTTAAAGGGGCCAGTGAGATGGCTCAGGGAAATAAGCGCGTCTCTGGCAAGCACAAGGGCCCAAGTTCAATCCCCGGTTCCACCAAAAAAAAAAGAAAAAAAAAAAGGTGAACTTTAAAAGAGCTCACCGGTGGGGGCCGGGGAGATGGCTCAGTGGAATAAGCGCTTCCCTGGCAAGCGCAAGGGCCCAAGTTCAATCCACGGTTCCACAAAAAAAAAAAAAAAAAGAGCTCACCGGGATGCAGCCCTGGTAGCACTGTGGCTGCTGTCCTCCGTGCCGTATGGTACAGCAGTGAGTAAGAAAAGGCTGTTGGGTCCCAGGTTCTCAGAACCATCCTATTGTACCATGTTTGCTGCTAATAAGCAAGTGGACAGCACAAATACAGAGGCCTAAAATATGCTGTGATTTGGGCCTGGGGCCCAGCTCTTCCTGGAGCAAGGCCTTTGTGTGGCCCAAAAGCCTTTTTTTTTTTTTTTTTTTTTTTTGTATTTTAGGGTAGGGTCTACTGGGTATTCAGCGTGTCACTACATAGATCAGACTCGTAGTGATCTGCCTGTTTATAGCCTTCCAAGAGCTGGGATTATAGGCATGTGCCACCACACCCAGTCTTAATTGCCATCTCAGTGTGCCCTGGGGATTGAACCCCCAGCCTCTGCACCTGCTTGCAGGTGCTTTAATCCACTGAGCTATTTGGCTGGCCCCTTCAAAAGCCTTCTTGACACAACTGTGTTGCCAGCAGGCTCATCCAGCATTCATGAATGGGGAGCCAGGAACTTCTTAGCAAGGGAAGGGCCTCTGTAGCCTGGGTATTGCTGATGTCCTGGGTGCCCATTCATTGGCAGCAATAACAGCCTTGTGAGTTGACCATTGCTAGTTCCTTGTAACAAGTGGGAACTGAGTCTCGGGGAATTAAAGCAATATCCTCAAACTAGGGAGTGGGGTCAGGTTTCAAATCTGGCTCTTCTCTGACCACCTGGGTCCATTCCCTCAACTACCCCACTGTCCTTCCACGTTGCTAAGCGCTCTGGGCATTTTTTAGATGGAAGATGTTTTCCTGCAAAAAGTTAGTTATTGAAAAGAGTTTGTACCTTTCTGTGGCAGAAGCACCCAAGATCGTGCCAAGGAAGGGGAGACCAGCCCTGGGGAGACTGACAGGCAGCCCAGAAAGGCACAGTCCGAGATCATCTGAGGACAGAGGCAGACGGCAGTGGCAGCCCCCAGCAAAGGCAGCAGCTCTCTGGGGACCAGGTAAGGCCTGTGGATGTCCCCATTCCTCGGGGAAGAGGACTGGCTTGGGCTGTGACCTGGTGACTTAGTCCTGATTTTTAGATGTTTCTGCTTCGGTGTGCTGGAGGATTGACTTTAAATGAAGGCAAAGAGGGTTTTCAAAAGCAGCCTACTTCATCTCAGCTTGCTTTCTCCAAGAGAGAGGGTAGTGGGAAAAGGGACTAGGGCGTCGCTCTTCATTTTCTTTGGCACTACTCTAGAAGCCTGACTGTGCTCTGAGAGATGCAGGCTGAGGGAATCGCAGAGCAGCCAGCAGCTCCGGGAAGGAAGGCCCCACCTGGCTGCAGCGTCGGCTTACCCACCAGAAGGGCACGGCTACCATCAGGTGGCAGACGGGGCACTGGCCCACCCCACCCTCCCAAGATGTCCCCTCTGATCCAGAGCAATCATAGTGGCAAGATTCTAATGTGTAAGAAAGGACACCACAAGGAGTGTAGGCTCCACTACAGAGCACTGGCTCAGCGGAAGCCTCTCCCCAAGTCTCTGTCCTGAGCAAGACCCCAAAGGTCCACCACACTGTCTGCCGTGCTCGTTCTGTTGCCTTTCCTGTGGAGGCAGACAGGGACCGAGATGAGGACCTAAGGACTCAAGGAGAGACGCACATCACAGCTGATGTTGCCCTTAGAGAGGCCACCAAGCATTGCACTCTGTTGTTACCACATAAAGACCGTAGGTGACATTAAATTAAATTCATTGTATTCTAGTAATAGGCTGGTGAAGTGGCCAATCTGAAAAAAAAAAAGAAAAGAAACTAAATACATGTAGTAGACCAGTAATACAGGTTTATTCTATTAAAGGATAGAATTAAGAGCTAAGAGAAAGGTATAATAAATAAGCACATAGAATAAAAATAAGTAAATAAGATAGCAGCCTTCATATGTCAACATGATACATATGGTGGACACACACAGAAGAACGGGGGAGCTTAGGTGTCTCGGAATCAGGAGCAGCTGGAGTATGTGCGAACCTACAGCAAGGGGACATCCCCCGAGGTCCCTGAGACTGAACGCCTCCCACTGAAAGGGGCAGAACTCAGCCCTAAAGTTGCAGTCCCTCTTCTTCCTGAAAGCGGGGTCCTGCATGGTCATAGTCACGCTGGGCTACAGTTTCCTGCCTAAAATAAGGGTAATTAAATCTATCCTGTTGCATTGTTACAAAAACTATATGAAGTGACATACAGACCAGTCCCGGCACATAGTAGGTCCCACAAGGAAGGCACCAAACTACCATCAGTTTCTCTCCTGCCACCTCCCGAGTGGCACTCCGTGAACTCTCAGATATTATTTGAAAGGTGAAGTTCTCTTTGCATGAAATGCTCCAGGGCCGCTGGCCACATAACCTCCTCCATCCTCCCCCAGGGGGCAGCTCCATAATTCTGTATGCCTCGGAGAAGTAGCTGCACCTTCTGTTACGCAGGGCTCCTCATCTTTCCCCAATTAGCACCTTCCTTTGGTTCCTTTTCTCACGTTCGACCGGGGCTTACATAGACTGCAGTGGGACCCAGACAGTTCAGTGGTACCAGTGAGCAACTCGCAGAAAACGTGACCAAAATATGCTGAAAGTTCTTGCAAATCAAATTTAAAATACATGAATTACCTAACAGAAAAACAGGAAAAGAATATAACAGCCCACTTCACAAAGGAAATGTTGATGGCTAACAAACATCTTTCAAAGTTCAGCCTCAGTAGGCAATAAATATAAACCCATAAAACTCAATAAGTATAAAGTCAACAAATACGTGAGTTAAATTTGGCTTATCAAATGCGCTAGTGTTTACAAATCATATATATTTAGTAGCGATAGTAAAATAACACCCAACACGTCCTAGCACTGCTGTCGGGTGCTATTGATTGCTAGTGATGTGGAGTTATACGACGTGCTCACATCCTACCTGGAGCGTAATTTGGCGCAAACTATCTGTGAAGGAATTTGGCGACATTGGTCAAAATTCTCTAGAAAGTGTGTGACTTTTGACATGGCTGTTCCACTTCCAGGGTTCTGTGCTGAGAAAAAAATTTAAAAATATACAAGCAAGGCCACTTATCAGCGTGACCTGCACGCTGATGAAACCACAGAACAATCTCCAGCAACAGAGGAAGAGTTAAGCGAATTACAACATAGTCATGCCGTGTGCCGTGTGCTGTACTACGATGTTCTAAAGAGCCATGGATGGCGTGAGAGGATGCTCCCGAGCAGACGGCTGGGGAGGGAAGCAGGGCATGCAGCGGCACAGACCAACGGCACAGTTTATGAAAAGTGCAGTAACGCCTTGGCTCACGAGTGCTTCTGTTCACCAGCTCCACCTCTGGTGGCGAACACAACTGCGGCCGGCCGCAGCCCCCACAAACACAAATGTGGCCATCTTCCCCCAAATCGTAAAACAAATTAAGTTCACGAACCGAGAGGTACCACCCTCGCTATGACTAAGGGAGTCTGCACTATAAACGCAAATGATTTCAAGGAGTAGGTATAAGGGGGCCTGCGGGATAGCTCAGTTGTTTAAGAGTCTGCTTATGCAACGCAGTCAGAAGCAGGATACCAAGGTTCAATCCTCAGCCCCTCAAGCCTTACCAGAACCACCCTTAAGGCAGCTTGAGCCAGTGGGGGGGGAGGGGGAGGGGGAGGGGGAGGGGGAATCCTTCAAGGAGCAGGTGGGTGTAAAAGGAGGAAAACATAACGGGGGTTCTGAGGCCTGTGACAAGCCACCATGAGGCATTTAATTCATTGTTAAAACGTTGAGCTGACGCAGGATGAAAACGGCCCAGGGTCCTTGAGTCTGCACCCTGAGAAGCCTAGAGTGCCAACAATGGTCATTTGCGCCTCTAGGATTAGACGTCGATTATTTCATCCTCCACTATAGTTTTCAAGTCTTCTCCAACGGCCACAGATCACCCTTACGGCTGGAAGAAGACAATGAAAAGCACACAGCTGCGGGAGCGCAGGACGCCGCTGGTCAGGCCGCGAGGAAATCCAGACCAAAGGCGCAGTTTTAGGGCAGCAGACACTTGTGCCCATTTCCTCTCGTGTGCCCGGGACTCCTGGAGATGGCAGCCACCTCCATCTGCAGCTGGAGCGCAGGCAGGGCCTCGGGGAAGCGTCAGCATCTGCAGGGCCGGGCTATGAATAGCACATCCCCGGCGTAGCAACTGCAGTATTTATTCCAGCCCCAGGGCTACTGAAATCAGCTTCCTCTTTGATAGACACAAAAAATGGGGTTAAAATAGCATAAATATAGAATGGTCTGCCACCTTTAGGGAGAGCACACACCGACCCACAGGCTCGCTCGCTCTCTCCGGCGCACGCCCGCGCGCGCGCGCGCGCGCGCACACACACACACACACACACACACACCTGAGAAGTCCTGATCGAATTTTTAAAGAGCAAGACAGCAGAAGTGGTATCGAGGAGGCTGCAGACCCGCGCCCTGGTGGTTCAGCGAGCTGTGGCAGCGTCACCATAGTGTTACAGTACCTGCCACCCGGGTCGGCGCAGAGAGGAGCTCCCATGAAATAAGCCTGTAGTTCCTGTTGCATTCCCAGTTTCTCTTTTTCAGAAGCCACCTAGCGGATTCCCGTGCCCTTTGGGTTTCTCCGCCTTCCCTTGACAGAGGTCTGAGCTAAGCTGGCCAGAGGCATGGGGCAAGGGGGAGCTCGGCCTCCTCTCGCGGAGCATGAGCTAGGGAACGGCCAGAGGGGCCAGGCTCGGGCAGGTAGCTGACTTCTGAAACCCTTCTTCTTCAAATTCAAAATGAAAAGTCATCAACCAGAGCCGACACTTTGACTCTTAAATTTATGTCACTTTTTTCTGCGACAAACAAATTCAGCTGGTTACCGAGAAGCATCGGTGACTTAAAATAGGGGTCAGCCCAGCAGAGAGGGCGAGTCAGTGCCACTCCTGCTCATGGGGGGCAGAGTGAAAACGTCCTTAAAGCTGGGATCCATCTCTTATGGGGTTTGTCAAACCCCAGGGGAGCCTGGGAGGAGAGTTGAACTGCTTTCTGTGTCACTATGTCCCGTGCAGCCAACAAGGAAAGAAGCTTGGAGTAGTAGGCCATGAGAGCGCCACCCAGGGCTTCCCGGTGACGTTGACCTGGCCTGAGCATTTGCGTTTCCCCGCAGAGCTGTTACGGCCTTCCTGGAGTCCTGGGCCCTCCACAGGCCGGCGAACTGCTTTAAGAACAAAGTGATGGGCCGGCCTGACACCTCAACTAGCTAAAGCGCCTGCTTAGGCAGAGCGCAGCGGCTGGGGTTCGATCCCCAGTGTGCCGTGCCAGTCCTTCCCTGGGGCGCCCTGAGCCTGCGATTGAGACTGGGCGTGTTGGTGTGCCTGCGCCTGTAATCCCAGCACTTGGGAGGCTGAAAACAAGAAGATCACTAGGAGCCCGATCCACGTAGTGAGACCCTGTCCTAAATGCAGAAAAAAAAAGAACAAAGTGATAAGGACTGCAGAGCCTCATCAGATTCACTAACCTCAGAGAAGGGGATGGGGCCGGGGAGCCAATGGGGACAGAACAAAGGGAAGGAATCAGGCAAGTACTCTCAGTTTTATACCCACATTTTCAGGGTGAAAAATCCTCACCCACACACACTCTACATTCCCTGGGTCCTGGCTTTCGCAAGGAAATTGGAAGCCCAGCCAGTGTCTTAAGGGATGACGTAGCACAGGGTGGTGGTTAAGAACACAAACCCCGGCATCCAGCAGGCTTGGATTCAAATGTTCACCCATCAGTTACTAGAAATACGATCTTGTAATGCAACTTATGTGGCCCCGCAGGCCTTGGTACCCTCGCTCTAACGCAGTAGGATTGCAGTACCTCTTTCAGAGAGCTGTGAGGCCTCCCTCGGCGTCTGGTATACCTGGCGTGGTTCTGGTCTGCTCAGTGTACATCCTCAACAAGTAGAGGATATTTATTTTTGTATAAGGTGAGTTTTATGTAAGTGATTCCATCAGTGAAAATTCCTACTCCGTGGGCTCTTTACCTCTCTCTTCCGTCTTCTCACACTTTGGAATTGTGGGTAGGTAAGAAAAGTAAAGATTCAGCAATAGCCAGAGGTTCTGAGCTTACTGGAAGCTAATGACCGCTTGATAGATGCGTACCTTTTATTTCCTGAAGTAGTAAACGTGCCCAGCACCATCAGGGGTTCTAGGGGTCCAGCCTCTGGAGTCTTCTTTGCAGGCCACAGTTTGCCAAGACAGAGTATACTTTTCTCAGCTTTCTGTAAAGCTGGGTGCGAAGCGGGAGAGTCATCCATGTACGCTGGATGAGTCTGGATCAAAAGGACTAGTGGTTTTGCTGGAAGTCATTCCCAGAGTGCTGGCTTTCCTTTTCAATAAAAACCAGTATTTAGTGAAACGTTTATCCATCCTCAGCCCTGACTAGTCTGGAGCAAGACCAGTTTTCCTGAAACTTCTGCAGGGGCACCTTTTTCCCTGGAACCAGCCTGAGCTCCACAGACATGAACAGAAGAACCCAGAAGCAGTCAAAAGAAGCCAGTTGTGCTGGACTCCTGCTGTGCACTGCTTTGACCACATCTATTTTATTCTCTAGGGCTTTTCTTAAGGGTCCCTCATGCTTAATATAGAGGGTTTTCGATCCATGGTATTTTAACAGAATGATGAATTTGTCTCTTTTTAACGCAGGCCCGGTAGTTCAACAGGAAGACTCCATGTGGGCAGGCAAAACAAAGCTGAACAGGACAACTCAAGAGAGAAGAAATTTCATCTCATCCTCAGAGCGGATGGGGACCACTGAGAGCCCCACTGAAGGAGCCAAATGCAGAGACCCAAATGCTCTGCCCTTCAAAGAACCAAATCCAGCCCTCGCTCAGACCTCCCGAGGAACGAGGAGTCCTCAGGGGCTGAGTGCATCCTTGGGGCCGGCACCCACACCTGCCGCTACTGTGGGGGGGCCGTGGAGGACAGCACGTGGGTGCCAAGGTGAAGCATTGTGTTCCACCCCATCACTGAGCACGAAACAAGAAAATGATGTCACTGGAAAAGAAAGCTACACAGAAGAAGAAATCTGGTTGGCTGCTATGCGACCTCCCTGTTCTTCCAATTGTAAACAAAGTAGAGTTCTTGGGACACCTGCCTCTCAGGCCAAATATAACAATTTCGAAGGAAATGCTGACCCCTGCAGAGGTAATTCTTTAAGAAACAAGCCCAATCCTGGCTCATTAAGAAGAAACGGTGCAGTGGAGCCAGTGACAAGCCAGTCTTCTGTCAGGCGAAGGGTGCTCCCAGCACCCAGGCTGCCTGGTGGGGCGTCTAGTGCAGAAAGCAACAGTAGAGACGGCACAAATGAGAAAAGGACCTTTAATTCGGGCACCAAATCCGATTCTAGCCCAGACAATGATGTCAACGCCAAAAGCATACCTAGGGGTTGCAGTTCTAAGGATGGTAGGCCTGGTGCCCATGACTATGAAAGAGAGTGCCAGGGCTATTTACATGGTTCTAGAAATTCTCCTAATTACCTACTTTCGGATAGACCGGTATCTTCCAGACCACCGGTGAATTCGTCACCTGACGCACTTGGATCATTGCCGCACACTGCTCCGAGTGATCACGTTCCAACTGGCTCGTCAATGTCATCTGCTCTGGGTCCCACCTTGGACTCAGGATTCAGCGCTTGCCAACCTCTGCCTGCTATTAGAAGCAGGAATCCACTTGCCACATCTGAAAGCCACAGTGATTTTCCAGTAAACACTGAACACGCATCTGATGTCCCGGGAGCGGAGGACACTACTCCACCAAGCCGGATTCAGGGAGCTCCGCTGTATGCAGATCTCTCACAAAATCCTCAAGGCAGCTGGTTCCGGGTGGCTTCTCCTCTACCTTCTCTGCCCAGAGAGGATTTGCAAGGTCGCTGGCACATGCTTGAGTCCCTGCAGGAAAATGCACCTTTTGCTTTCTTTGTTGTATCAGAATCTCCAAATCAAAATGATGATATGAACAATGTGTCTGTCTCTGGTTTCACAAATGAAAAAAAAAAGGCAGACCCGGAGAAACTCAAGAAATTGCAAGAAAGGTGAGGAATCTTCCTACTTATGTGCCCAATATGCGTACATGGGGTTTTTTTTCTATTTTTTCAATGCTGAGAAAAGCCTTGCTTGCAGTAGAGAGTCACGGGAATTTTGAATCATAGATAGGCTCTTCCTTGACATTTAATGATTGGTTATTTTGAGGAAATTGTCCCTATTCGGTTGCTCTTAAAATATACGTGCATAAAGTTTGCTGTTCCTGTTCCGTTCTTTCCATATTCCCCAAATGTTTTTCCTTGAATCTCATAACTTTAAGAAAGGAAAGTCTGCTAGGTATAAGGGTTCCTGACAGCCGCACGGGCTAACTCTTCTTCTCAGCAATTAGGAGTGAGGGTTTCTTAATGAAAAGGTTGCCGTCTCCCCAGAGAATGAACCACTGAGTACTTGAAGTTCACAGCTGTCCCTCATGGGACTTGTGGCAAACCTTAGGGTTCTAGGACTTGAACCTTCCAAACTAAAAGACAGGTTCCAAAGAGTCACCCTAGTTACTTCAGCTCCCCCAAGGCCTGCGCCAGGGCGACCACTGCTGCTACTTTATGCGCTTTCTCTCATGCATGAGATGGAGAAAAACAAGATCTTTTTAAATTGCCCTTTCGCTTCATCCTTCCTTCTCACAAGGTGACTTGGGGCTATTCCACAGCTGGGAAATCGGACACTTTTTAAAGCCGTCCTTAAATCCCACGTCATAACTCTGCTGTTGTGTGTGTGATGGGTGCTTAGCAAGCCAGGCCTACTGATCTGGAAGTTGATTCTGAATGTGAGCCCTGTGTGAGGAGGTTGGTACGAGCCTACGCTGCTCGCTTGTAAGCAGGAGAGTTCCGTGGCAATGGATTACAAATGACAGAGAGGAGCGGAGAATGAAACAAAGACTGCGTGTATGCTCCTCCGTGTCTTTTATCCAGCTCCAGAAATGGAGACTATTCTAGTTTGCCAGGGCCTTCTTTCATCTTAGCAAGAGTTACCAGAAGGGAGACCCATGGGCCAGGGAGATAGCTCCGCAGAATAAGCGCTTGCCTGGCAAGTACGAGGTCCTGAGTTTACACCCCCAGTACTGAAAAAAAAAAAAAAAGGAGACCCATGGTTATGGACAGATGGATGGACAGATGGACAGACAGACAGACAAGAGGCCCTAGGCCCACCCATTCTCAGCTGCAACCCTGAAAGATACCCTCAGGCCTTCCGTCGGAAGTCTCCTACCACCCTACAGTGATGCCTTTGGGCTCAAAATAATTTCTTTTAAATTGCAGGCACTTCTCAGGCACGCTAATGCACTCAGCAACTATTATTTATGGGGGACTTGGTTTACCAGATGCGCTCTTTTTTCTGTGTTTAGTGAACCATATATTTTTCTCATTATTTCAAAAGTGCCTACTTTAAGACATTTTTTTTTTAAAGTTTAGGGGCTTTGCCAGGTAGCTCAGTTGTTCGAAGTGCTACTTGGGTAAATATAGGCATGTGCACAGGACCGCAGTTCGATGCCCCGCTCCAGAAGGTGTACCAGACCTGTCTTAAGGCAGCCTGAAGTAGCCAAAAAAAAAAAACTCCTTCTCAAAAGTTTATTTATTTATTTTTAGAACTGGGAATCCACCTCAGGACCTTGCCAGGCAGGCACCAGGCCACTGAGCCATACACCTGCCCCCAGGAAATATTTTTCAACAGCATGAAAGAAAGACACCTACACTGCTGAAAGCATTTTCAGTCTTTTATCATTTTTATTTTTCTTTTTTGTGGTGCTAGGGACTGAGCCCAGGCCTTCACACTGAACTACAGCCCAGCCCCTTTTTAAATCTGAGCCAGGATCTCACTAAGTTGCTAAGTTGCCCGGGCTGAGCTTGAACTTGTGACCCTCCTGCCTCAGCCTCCCAAAGTGCACCACCACATCCAAGGCCCCATCTTTGCACACAGGTGCAATTGTAGTAAACATCGGTGTGTGCTGTTTTATAAATGATTTATTTCCACCTCTCAATGCCATTTGCACTTTCAAAAAAAAAAAAAAAAAATCCCCCTCACCCTAATGCATAGAAATAAGTGTGTACCTGTGTGTATACTTTATACCTATGAAATTTTTAAAAGTACAAACCAAAAACTCCAGCTACATAACATTACTTCCTCCATCTACTAGAGCCCTCGCGAGCCCTGGCCCCCAGCATCTTTCCCCCTCTCACCTCCCCACTCCACCACCGCAGGCCCTGCTCCGCATTGCATTCCTTCGTTTCAGCTTTCCTGTGTTCGGGAATGTTCTGCCTGTGCCTTCGCTGTGTGTGTGCGGGTGGCTGTGTTTACAAAGCCTTGGGTGTAGTTTCCAACGCTAGAAGTGGAAGCTAGAGCTTCTTCTGCGCCTTGAATCTCCTCCGGCTGGAGTCTTGGCTTCGGTAGCGCCTTCGGCCGGTCTGTGCGACGTTGGGACTGTTGTCATCTGCAGACAGTGCCGCGTGGAGATTCTGGTCGACGCGGAGTCGCTGGCGTCTGGAAGAACTCTCCGGGCTAAGGGCGCGGAGGGCGCTGCGGAGCGCAGGGCAGCCACCTTCCGCTGTGCTAAGCCGTGCCGGTCCGGGCCCGCCGGCGCTGGCCGAGTCACACAGCCGTGACCGGACTCGCCGCCACGGCCTTCGGCTTTGTAGTCTGACGGGAGTCGAGTGGTGGTGTAGCTTAAACCTTGCATCTGCGTAGCTGCTCATGAGGTTAGGCATTTCGTGCGCTCTCCTACGTTTGTGAAATATTTGTTTTTTGTTTTTCTTTGTTTTAGGAGTCCTTTATGTAGTTTAGCTACTTATCTAATCTTTTCACGCACACACACATGCACACACACGCACGCACACACACACACACACACGGGCACCCGGGGGTGTAGCTCATGATACACTGCCTGCCTGGCAAGCATGAGTTCAATTCCCACTACCCCCCAAAAGAATAACCCTTTGACAGCTAATAGTGGAAATGTCTCCCAGTTGGTAGTTTGTCTTTCTGTGATGTATTTTGGTAAAAACTAATTCTTTGTTTAAATGTAATCAAATGTGTTCATCTTCCTTATGGATAGACTTAGGTATTGCATTGTCACTTTAAAAAAAAGTTGGGGCTGCGCTGACAAAGGTTCTACAATCTGAGGCACAGTATCTCAGGATAAATCCTGAGGGCATTTCACTGACCTTCTCAGACCCAAAAGCTACAACTCTTGTTGCA